TCAAACAATAGAATCAACCGTAAGTCAGCGAGTAGGCTGTGTGTTGAGCTATAAATAACCTATTAAATAGGAAACTCAGATTGCATGCTCACATTGGTTTATCTTCAGTTTCTACAGGAATAATCTTTATAGAATGTGATTTTCATGGAGCCAATAGTTTTGCATTTTTTTCATCAGATGTTCATTTGTCTCTGAATATGCAACTTCAATAATAAGGTTGGCCATAGATTATTCTACAAAGTTCCATCAAATATGAAAAAAAATATCTATCTTCCTTAACAACATGAACTGTAAGTTTCCTATCTTGCCACTTGCATCCATTTGCGGTTTATGTGCTGGTTGAAAGCTGGAATCAAGGCTCCTGAATTGATCACCAATGGATAGTAAGAAAAGGTGTTACAGCATGTAATTGGTGGCAAAATGAATGAAAATTAATAAACATACACAATAATCCAAAGTTTAAAATTTTTGCAGGACCCTTATAAACAACTTGTCCGTGTATTGAGTCATCAGGAAAATATGATGGGATTATATGTATAATATGTATATTACAGTCAGGATTTTTTCCAAATTTGGAATTTCCAAATATTGTAATGATCAACATTCTAGATTCATTGTTTAATTCTAAAAATATTCTAAAAAAGAAAGCAAAACAAAAAATGATTGGCTAAATTTTATGCAGGTCTTTTCATATATAAATTAAAATAATGCAAACCTGTTGAGTTTTAAATTACATACAATATATGAATTATGCATGCATACCTAGAATTAAGCAATATCAAGCCATTTTTTGAATTAATATATAGCATGTTTTCCTGATATATTAATAGTTCAAATTATAATAAGTTACTATATACAAGGAGCTTCAATTGCATTGTTGTCAGTAGTTATCTTAGGCCTTTTTGTTCATTTTCTTCTATGATATATGATGACCTTGAATTATCTATTTTTTTAAAATGCTCAATAAAATAATTATTAGCAACAAGTTGATTATTATGTTTTCCAAATAGAATAATTTCTAATAATTAATGAAAATAATACTTAGCCAAAAGTTTTGCTCTTTCAGTTGATTTTTCTCCTGATGCAAAACGCCATTTCTGATTCTCCTTAGTTTTACACTGAACTAAAAGAGTATTTTGATATCTCTCAACAAGATTTTTGAGTAAGTGTCACTGATTAAATTTGGGAGAGCGTGTTTTAATTGGTGATAACAATTATTTTTGTATTTGTATGGGTCAGAATGAATAGGTTATCAACAAATTGATTTTGGATTAGCAAATAATTTTGTTTAAAGAAGATAAAAGTTTTAAATAAAATAAAATATTTATTATTTTATTTATTTTAGTTTTCTTAGTCAAAACTAATTTACTTATTTGCAAGTTTTCCTTAGTCAAAACTAATTAACTTATTTGCAAGTTTTCCTTAGTCAAAACTAATTAATTAACTTATCACAAAGTTACTTTTTTTACATTAGGTTGAAATTGAGTTCTTTATATACAATTCAATTAATTAGAAATTCTAATATTCCAAAACGATTCTTTCTTAAATTACGACGTTATACAAATAATTAGTAAAATAAAATTAAACAAGTTTACAAATGAGGAGCTATCAAGATTTCATTTACGTTTCTAAATTCGCAGAAAAACATACTTGAAAAATTATTAATATGTTACAATTTTTTCAAAAAAAAATTTTATATACGTGTGCATAAAAATAAACATGTAGTTGCATAGGTACGTGTTCTTAACAATTTCGAACACGTTGATTGCAGCAACAACAATCAATGATGGGCATATAAACATATGCATGAACACATGTTAACATTGCAGCATGGATGACATGACAATAAACGCGTCCGCGTGTGAAAAAAAAAGAAAAGACATATGGTGTAAAAATAAACACGTATGTGTTCTTAACAATTTCGAACACGTTGATTGACGGCAACAACAATCAATGATGGGCGTAGGAACATATGTGGGAACACATGTTAACATTGCAGTATGGATGACATGACAATAAACATATCCACGTAAGATTTTGTTACAAACATGTTGATTAAGCGGATCTCATGCGCCTGAATCAAAAATCAACGGATAAATGTAGATCTCAAATTGAGGTGCATTTGTTTGTTGGAACTTAATTTTGTTGAACTTTTCATTAAAAACCAACGCAAAAACATGTTTTCTTGCCATAAAAAAAAAAAAAAAATGCTCGGAAGGTCCAAAATCAATTATGTTTTATTGTCAATTCTCACAACAATTAGTTTAAAAGTTAGTTGTTAAGTAATTTCCGGCCAATTAAAATTATTAAAAAAATTTGTAATTTTGGTGGTTTTTCTTATCCGATGATTCTTGATGTTTTTGAAGAGTGCACAAAAAAATAGATAATAATAATAATAATAATAATTAGATACATGTGAAATTTCTAACATTCTAATACGTGTTAATTATTTATTCAAATTTTGAAATTAATTTGTGAGAATGGAAAAGAGTAAACAGGTTTTCACAGATCACAAACCTATAAAAAATCACCTATATAAATGAACTACGCTCCCTCCTCCCTCCTTTCTCTCCTCTTTTCTTCTCTGAGATCTGATTAAAATATGGAAACGATTTCAAAATCTGCAAAAAAAATTACGAGTTTTAGCAAGCAATAGTGACACGACGAGCATTCAATCTTTTATATGTGTTAATAAGTCATATGAATAAGGCGTCTGATTATTGCAGCCATTATTATTCCTGAAATTACAATTTTTCTGTAATATTCAGTCAGCAACACTTAAATTCCTCCATATAAATTACATTTAAAGATGCCAATAATATTTGGACATATAGTATTATTGTTGTTGTTGTTATCACTGCTTTATTGAATTAAATAACTTTAATTCTTGATTCTTGTTGTTATTATTATTAAATGAATTTGAAAATTCATATTTATTATTATCTGACTTCTTGCTCAAATCAAATTACATCCAAATCATTATTTTTACAAATAACCCGATTCTTGACTTCATCCTTCTAATTAATTAGCTTTACATCAAATTTAGTATTATGAGATATTTTTTATCAAATGGGTCATCAGGTTTTTCCCGCGTTTTAATAAATAAAGACAATAAAGACAAAGAATCATTATGAAGTTCTCTTATACGTTTCTATGTATAATAGTACTAAAAATTTTTTTTACTTACATTTGTATGATCCCCTTAACAATAAAAAATAAAACGCTTTACATTTAAAATAACATTCACTACTAACAGTTATTTTGAACCAACCTTTTAAAAAAATAAAAACAAACCTTTCCGCCAATAAATATATTTGGGACAAACCAAAAAACATTTTTTATCGAACATAAGATATATTTAATAAAACAAAAATAACGAGTTACAATATTCAGTATTACATCTTTGTATAAATACTATACAATCATTAACAAGGTATAACTTTAGCTGCATGTAGGCAGTTACTGCTATTGGCCCCAAGCATTTGAAAAGGCAAAATCCATTCATTGTTTGCATGACCCTTATTGATATATATGATTCATAAACCTTGATGGTTGGGAGAAAATTTACCAGATAATAATAGTGGTTTGGAACGGCCAAAAAAAACTTAACCGGTTAATTATATAGTAATAGATTTTTTTAAAGATATTTGTCAAAAAACTTGAGCGCAAATCAAATCACATGAATATTACTAATACTAAGATTTTTTCTATATACAAAAAATATGAACAAGTTGTTTGATGGTTTAAAATTTCTTTTACAACTTTTATGCTCATTATAAATCAACAGTTATATTATCTTTCAATAAACTATAATAATAATACTAAAGCAAATATATTATAATTTACTAAATTACAATGATCCAAGATTTCGATAGGTAGTAAACCAATTTAATTGTTATCTCACTTTTTTAAATGTGGCTCTATTTCACCTATTGAGCTAAAGATTTACAATTAAAGCACGTAGGAATTTTGGCCATTTTAAATTTCTACATTTAGAAAACGGTTCAGGATTCTGGCTACTACAACTAATTAATTTTTCGTTGATCTACATTTTAGTGTTAGTCACCAAAACTACTTTGGAGAAGTTGCGAAACTCTCTAGTTTTGGAAACCAACACTATTCTCAATTCGAAGCTTGTTATTTGTTTATTAACTAGAAAGTTACATCAGATTCAGTAATTGAGAATGCTACCAACATGTAAAAAAGCTTTTGACATATAAATGTTGTTAACATACAAAATTTAAGATGAATAGATTTCCACAATATTTAATCTTTGAGACCACTTCCGAAACTGCGTCACGCGTTTTTACCCTCTTGTATAAAACAGAAAGTATAAAATATAATGACGGCTGAAATGTGTGCGAAAGAAGCTAAGAATACTTTTGATTTTAAAAACGAGTTTAGTGAATATTTCAGGCAATTAATTCGCTTAAACAATTCTTATTCATCTCTTACATCATTTTTCTCTCTGAATTTCAAAGAATAGATAATGCAAGTAACGAAAGAAGCAGAAAAATGTGATTTTTATCAAGCTGCATGTACATGATCATATTTGGTTTAACAATGTATTATTTTGTTCAACTCAAAGACATGCATGTAAATACAATCTATGTTTCGATAAATGAAATGCGTTTTAAAAGAGATGGACAACAATATAAAAATTATTTATTATTGTCTCTCAGAATTATAAGAAAATTTATATTGTTCATGAAAAAAAAAAGAACGTTTATTTAAAGACGCAAATTTCCTTTCATCTTGTAATTATCTCATAAAAAATGAGTAAGTTTCCGATGGCCACAAAGTCATTATGATATGATATTGAAATTCAATAAAATTTGATCTAGTAATATCTGCTAGTAATTATATTTGTTGCTAATAAAACTGTTCTTTTTTTTTATTTTATTTAAGGTGCTACATTTGGTTGTAATTACATGGACCCTAACACATACAGGTGTGGACGTGGGTGTGAAGGAGATCGTTTGGGAGAAGGAGTTTGTAGCATTTGTGCTAAATGTAGACAACATTGTGCATGTCATAGTAAGTAAAAAATTCATGTTATATGTGTGGCCGCGAAAACTATTTCTTTGAATTTCGATATCAAATATCAAAATGACTTTGTGACATGAATAATATGTTACTCATAATAATAAAACAAAATACTTATCGCAACATGTTTGATTCCATTCCCCTCTGGTGTTTTCACAAAGAACGGTAAGTGCTTTTGTTATTTATTATTTCTTTCATTTCATATATTTTTATGATTTCCTACGTATTTCAATATTAATATTAATAGTTAGCGACAATTTGTTCCTGAAAAATTTTGAATCTATCATTCTAATGCAGCATCCCAAAGTAATTAGACACTTTCATAATTATCGTTACACATTTGGGCTGCATCTATATTAATAATATTAATCAGCTTAGTTTCTTTTATGGTTTTCCATATTGTTATTACCATTTATCCAAGTAGCGCTTTGTATATGGTTCCAAACCCACCTTCACAATATCCTCTATACCTTCATAAGGAATCGATTAAATATAATTTTAAATTGTGTGCTTTTAATTAATTTACCTAATGTGTATCATTGCCACTAGTTGTTATTCAAATGATTGATACCATGGATAATTAGTGTTATTATACCTATTACAAGTTAAACATATACACTCCTTTATCTGAATATTTATCATTCGTAATTCTCTGATATTTTTATTTTTATTTGAATGTTTTACAAATTTATTTATTGAATACCCATAATTCTTTAAAGATAAAAAATGATAATATGCTCCTTTTTATTTTAAAAAAAGATATGGTACACGTCCTTTTATATTTTATAATAGAACTCAAGAACTATATATTTTAAAAATTTTCATTAAATGATAGATTAGGTATATAGGCCTCTCTAGCTTTAATGCAATGGATGGAAAAGGTTATTTGTTGTAGAATTTTATTTCTTTTTAGTACGTGTTTGTTTTACTATGTTCACGGGAAATTTTTTTAAATATAAAATAAAGCTTTACAATGCCTCCTAAATCCAGAAAAAACATTTAAAATCATTAACAAAAAAATTTTCAAGATTTAATGCTTTCGATAACAATTCTTAAACAATTTGAAGTAATCTAGGTGAATCTGTATTATCATCTGACAATGAATTAATGATGTTAGCAGGTAGAAAAACCTTAGCCGGCTTAAACGGCTTAGCCGACTAAGAACTTAAATAAATCCCAGTTGATGAAAAAACTTTTCAGATGGTACTAAGTTTGCCAGTATTATTACTACTATTTATTATTTTATTACTATAATTATTATCAATATTATTTATTATTTTTATTATAACATCTCGCCTTTAATGGTTCGAATAAACAAATAATTCGAACAGAACTAATAATTCGAATAGGATGAACAATTCGAATAGGGAGAATAGTTAGAATAATTAGAATAATAATTCAAATTAAAATAAGAATTTGTATTACAAATGATTTTTACCCTGATATGATGTATTGTATTTTGTTTTTTTGAGCAAACGTATGTTTTTTTTTGTCGTTCTAAGTAACGCAGGTGGACCCATCTCAACTAAATGTTATGTCATTGAATTATGCACTAAAATTCCAGATTTTTTTTTTTAGCCGGCTGAGCCGTTAAAAATTCCTTAGCTGGCTAAGCCGATAAATTCCTTAGCTGGCTAACATCATTACAATTAAATGATAAAATTTGGTATATGATGAGAGACTTTTGAGGGTAATTTTAACTCAGTATTACCTTCAATTTTTGATAAAATTATGGCGACAAATTCAAATCAAATACTAATTCAAAAACATCACTTTTTTACATTGGCAATTCTGTATGCACAATTTAGACGAACAAATGCTGGCATTAAAAAATTATGGATGTAAATACCAATCAACTGACGTCATTTTTTCCAAAAAAAAATTCTCCAGATGATGTCGTTGAATGAGACAATTAAAATTAATTCTAAAGCAAGATAAAACTATTGATTCTGGTGTTAGCATCCAAACAATGTGACAATTCTTTAAAGATTATGATTCGAGTTTTGCTGGTCCATTTTAATCTAAAACAATAAATCGAAGAAATTTTTTTTTAAGATATGGGGATAAGATGGGAATTTTTTTAAATTAATTTTTGTACGTTATATAAGTTAAATGATTTTGACAAACATAAAGAGCAGACAGTTACAAAAAAAACTTTGATCTGCTTTTTCCTGCAAAAATTGCCAAACAGATGTTGTTATGTTTCTAATTCCTATCTTTTGCAAGATATTATAGAAGAATGGACCCATCCTGTTGGCAATGAGAGTGACGAGGAAAAATTGGGTAGAAAATCTTCCAAATAGGAGATTGGTATAGAGGACATCCATTTATTGGGGGAAGTTGAACAAGATCACCTATTAGAATAACATTAATTCCTCCAAATGGTGCAAAGATTTGATGAATTCCAGAAAGCATCTCCGATGTGAAGGTCAACAATGAAGCTTGAACCATGGAGGCTTCATAATAATAGTGTAAACTTTTCAAAGTTCTTGATTGAATTCTTGGTCAGCAAATGTTAATGTGACTATATCCAGAGAGCTGATTGAATGGTTTGTCCTTGAACATTGGTGGCAGAAACCCCAGTTGGTGCCATCAGAAAGAAGTTTTTATTCAGTTCTGAGAATTTTTTTTTGCAAATAGATCTATCAAGAATGACTTACCAGAGCCTGCTGATCCACTAATGAAAAAATATGGATAACGATGTGTATCTCTGGGTCCCATGTAATTGAAAATTGTTTGCACAGCTGTATTGTGAAGGTGAGCTCAACATACTGTTGTTTGGAACAATTGTGGTAAAATCTTGATGTTTTCAAGTTGACCTTTGATAATATCTTGGTTAGCAGTGATTGTAGAGAATATAAGAGAGTTTCGATGAGATTGTAGTATTGGTATTAGTCAAGCATGTTGATGTCCAAATTCTTCAGGGAACCTTGCAAGGTAATGATCATGATAGGTTCATAGGCTCCTATCTCGCTGGTATTTTTAGCAAAATTATTTGATAAAAATACAATTCACCATGTTCTAACCCAAGACTTCATACCTTGTCAAGATGTTTGTCTTTCTTTTCAACATATAATTTTCAAGGTTGACTCTATAAATTGTTTGGTTACTCGAATTGATCACTGTTAGTTTTATGTCATATTGCCCAAATGTAACTCTTGCAAATTACATTGTCTAATGGTTCCCAATTTGGTTGAGCTAAATATTTTTTAATCAGGCTTTTCCAATGCAGTTAATCATCATCAAGATTTATCCTGGACAATGTGAGGATGCATTTTAATCTGACCGACGGGGTCAATCACAATACATTTTACTTGAACTGATGAATTACATATTGTTCCTCCTAACAACAGAAACATAAATTCCATAGAACCTAGCCGACGTGCATGAACATATTCACGAAATAATTCACCTTCTTTGAATTTCTCCTGCTCTGATATTAGAAGTACCGGGGGAAGGTTCTGGTTTGGCAATGTATTTGTTGACAGTCTCTTGATGTGATATATTGAATGTTCATATGCGCACTCCATGAGCACGGTTGAGGTATGACCTACTGGTCAAGAGGATTCATACAATTGCAAGCATATTTAATTAATTCGATAATCTAATATGTAAATCCGGGATATCACCAAAATGTAAAATTTATGCAACGTCTCAACCTTAAAAAAAGCCGTAAAAATACGCATCTGTTAGAAAATTATTGTAATAAGAAAGAAAAAAAGATATTTATAATAACAAAGATGTTGATGATTTGACACTTGAGAATTTACGGTAGAAAATTTATTAATATTGAGGAATCTTGTGCATTCTTATCTGTTGATCACAAGGCAAATTGTAAGTTAATTAATTATAAAACTTTATGTTATTTTATAGTCAATGTGGAAATTTTTTAGAAACTTTTATGGAATGGTGAATTTTCTTCCCCTGTAAAAGAAACATTAAAAAAATGATGGTGCATCTGTAATAGATAATATTGGATGAATTGTTAATTTTAATAAATCATCAAACTTCTATGAGAATCTAATAAATATAAACTATTTATAATTGTATAGACTCGCAACTTGGTTAGTTCTTATGGCAGAGAAATTTCCATTATTTGTTGGAATTGATATAGTAATTGATTTGAATAATTCTAAAAAAGAATTATCAACAAATCTGGCTATAATTGGGCATAACGTATTTGATGGTTTACCATTTCCAAATGGCACTTTTGATTTTGTTAATCAAAAAAGTATGTCAAGTTCAGTAACAATTGATCAATGGTCTTTTGTAATTGATGAACTGATACGTATAACTAAATCTGGTTGTTGGATTTAATTATTAATAAATCTAATAATGAAAATGGATGGCGATGTAATAAAGAAAATATATTTATATTATTAACTTTATTTTTCATTATTATTATTAGGAAAATGAATCCATACCATGTTCCATGGACCAGTGACTTACTTAATAAGCTCTAACAAAATTATTAATTAAACTATAGTCATGAATTATGCAAATCACATGTATATAATAGATAGATTGATTCATAAATCTATGGAAATTGATAGCTATTGATAAAATAAAAATTTTCCATTAGGTGGTCATGGTATGGTTGGTGAAATGGTAAAATATATATATTAATAAATTAATATAATGTTTTTATGATGATTATTTAATTATATAGATGAGACAAGTTCCGAATGATTATTCAATAGAAACTATTAGATCTTAGCTCTCACCAATTATGGGGATAAAGTTTAGAAGAATATAACGAACAATTAGGCAATGTAACTTGGAAGATGCTGAGTATTAAAAAATTATAGATGATTATTTACAGTATTTCTTTATTCTATTTACTAATACCCAAATAATATGTTTATTATTTAGAATATATGGAAAGAATAAAGACGATTGAATTATTTATATATATTAAAAATAACTTGTATAAGAGTCGTAATCAATTATTTTTTTTATAAAATTATATTGTAAATTTAAATTTAAAATTAGGCTTAATCTTAATCAAACTAATGATTAATCTTAACTAATTTGCATGACTTTTATCCTGGAAGCGTATGCATGATATTGTATTTCGTTTACATGTATTTCTTCTATATGCATTCTAGTAGTAGATAATTAAAAGTTAAACCTTTTGTAAAATATAACTACAAAATATCCATGAATAAT